TCAGAACAGATACCAATATTGTACCTAAAAAGAGTTTATTGTATATTTTTACATCTATTTTGATGCTTTGAATAAGGGTTGGTTGGAAAGATGTAGGAAGATTATTGGATCTGATGGCCAAATAAACATATGAGGTATAATTCAGGGAAGAGTTACATGCTTTGAGTTGACTTGGCGGTCCTAAATTGTATGAAGACATTGAAGTAGAATAAAGAATATTGGTGCAAGGCTTACTTTAGTTAGTTTTCTAAATGTGATGTTGTTGAGAACAATATGTGTGAAACTTTTAACTCTTGGATAGTTGGACCTAGACATAAGTCAATTATAACAATGTTGGAGGAAATGAGATACAAAATACTAATAAATAGGAATAATGACATGAGGAACTTTGCTGAGACTAGGATAAGTGATATTTCACCAATGGCAAGGATGATTTTAGAGAAGAACAAGGAATTCTCTAGAAGATGTAAAGTAAGATTTAATGGACATGACGGTTATGAGATTGAAGAATGTGAGAAGAGGTTTATTATTAATCTAGTGGAAAAGAATTGCACTTGTAGATCTTGGATATTTAGGTTAATATCATGTCAACATGTTGTTTGTTCATACTATCACTTAGAATAAGAGCCAGAACAACATGTTGAATTTTGGTATAAAAAAGAAATATTCCTAAAGGCTTACAAGTATTTTCTTCAACCCGTGCCCAATATGAAGATGTGGCAAGAATATAACAACCCAGTTATTAAGCCTCCAAAGCCAAAACCAATGTCAGGTAGACCAAAAAGATGTAGGAGAACGGGAAAGTATGAGCCCAAAAAGGCAAAGTATGGCAAACTGCCCAAGAAAGGGGTGAAGATGACATGTTCAAAATGTCATCAAGTAGGACACAACAAGAGAGCCTGCAAAACAGAGGTAATATGTTGTTCAATTAAATTTAATAGTGTTTTACAATTTAATACTCAACCATTTATTTGGTGTTACAATTGCAGCCTGCTATGGGGCAACCAACTCAGCCAAGACGCCAAAGACAACCTGCTCCATCTTGAATTTGTGATGATAAAATTATTGCTGGTGTAGGCAAGGGAAGGGGAAGAGAGAGAAGTATTGTCTTAAGAAAGGGAGCATTCCAAACAGTTTCTTCTAGAGGAAGAGGATCTGAAACCAGTCATACATCCACTAACGTTGGACAAAAGAGGCCAAGACCTGCAGAGTTTGGAATATATACATACACTGTGAGTGGAGCAACTGTTATGAATGTAAGCAACAATTATTTGAAGCAAATGTTATTTTATATTTCATATTAAGTGTGACTAATATGTGATATTTTTCAGCCTGGTAATCCATCTGAAAGAGTGATATCAAATGGGAGACCTCTGAAGAATACAGCTGAAACCAATATAGATATTGGATTTCAGCCGACTGGTCTAAAATGGAAAGGCAGGCAAGTAGTAACAACTAACCAACTCCAGCGGATGAGTGAATCAAGGAATACAAAGACTTTCAGTCAAGAAGGTATATCCTCATCTTTTCTGTCAAACCAATGGAGTGGAACCAAGTGACTTCAGTGTTTAATATGATTTAGGTGCTTATTTAGTTAAGTATTTGGATATGTAGTAATGACTTATTGAAAACAACTTTATTTTGGTATTGTATTGGTGGCTACATGATTAGCCTTTGGTTTAGTTCTTATATTGGCTTCAAGGACTGATTGTGTTTTAGCTCTTGTATTGGAATCATGAACAACCTATTATGTAACATTTTATGAGCTTGGTCTTATATACATAAGTCTTCATTTGGCCAATATTATACGATGTTACTGTCAACCTTCATACGCTTGTATTTTGGTCTTGTATTGGCATTATTTATCAATAACATTTATACAAATCTTGCGGCAGTCAAATATAGTATAAGCCATATAAAGTAGACCCCAAAATACCATTATCATTAATTGAATACATAATCCAAAATTTGGGTACACTTATGTCCCAATTACAATAGTGATACCAAATATGTGTTGTTATCGCAGCTAATACGATCAACCAGTAATACCATTCCAAACCCACATAATAAATATCATAATTAACACCAAGAAATATTTTATTCACCTTTTAGTATTAAGTTCAATTGCATCATTCTTTTTTACCTTCTTCAACAACCCACATATCACCCTTGTAGCTTGATTTGGAAATTGAGGTTCATACCACATAAAAAAAATTTCATCCACCTTTCTACTGCAAAAAAACATACCAAAAGAAGATAGAATTTGTAAAACCAACAAATAATGAAGAACAATTCAAACGATAAATTCATGTGCTTACTTCGTCAATTCTATAGCGATAAAATCGACGACCTGGGTTTCTCTCTGACCATGATGTTTCAATAGAGCATTGATTCCACAGTGACAAATAACCGATCCACTATGCGAATTCATTGTCCTTTGCAAAATCGAACCAGACGAATCCACTACCAATTACATCGAGTCACAAAAACAATAAAGAGAAAAGGGAGAAAGAAACAGAAGAAAATCATTTACTTGTTCGAGCCTTCAGTTACTAGTATGAAACAAGAGAAAGATATTGAGAAATTTTAGCTTGGATCTTCGATCTCATATGTTAGAGACGACCTAGGGTTTTTTGGGAAAAAATAGATTTTCGGGTGATAACGACAAACTATGCCTTATAAAAAGACACACGGACATAGCAAATATAGTCTGAGTAATTCTGTCCAGAGTCGAACCATAGAGAATTAACCTGTCAATTACTTTTGTCGGACTTACTAAATTCACAGAATCAATTTCCCAAACTTTGTGACTAACAATTGATGATATATCTAACAACTAAACTAAAAATAAATAAACAGCTGAAAGTTAACTAAGCTTGCTTTGTATATAATTGGAATAAGGTCTGAGGTAATGGTTTCCCCCGTTGTTGATTTCCTTGGTTGAATATGTCTTATAACTGTGACTTAGTTGTCTCCATCAATCATGAACGGTCCAGCTATCATAAATCTTTCTCAAGCAATTATGATAATTTACTAGACGTACTTTCTCAAGCTACGCTAGCTAGATTCGCACTACGTTTCACTTAGATTGCACCCGAGGTATCGTTATCTCTAATCTAACCTCTAAACCCTCGGTTATGACTCTCGTCTATACTCCGGGAGTGATGTAGTTCATACAATTACCTAAATATGCACTCTCTCTCAAGCAGATACATACTAAATATGGACGGATAATTGAGGGCCCTTTCAATTAACCACAATTAAAACGTAGATGAACAAATAGAGATTAACAACCAATTCAACACTATATTAATATAACAACCAAGTCATCCCCAACAGGTTTCACCAAAACCTTAGATTAAAGTATTTAGCTACTCATAACAATAACAAAAACAACAAAAGAATTCATAGTCATTGATGGAAGAACAATTTAGAGAGATGAGAAATTGTATATTTCAAGTTGCCTCCTTGCCTCTCTTCCTTGTTCTCAAAACTCGAACTCCCTTTCTCTATTGGACTTGTTAAACCTTTTATAGTTGGTGTAGATTTGCTTGGACTTCCGAAATTGCCCTTATAAAATTACTGCTCCCACATCTGGACTAGCGCGGGCGCGCTAAGCCCGCGCTAGTGGGGTTTCCTACTGGTTTGGGCGCTGGACTAGCGCGGGCACTCTAAGGCCGCGCTAATGCCCGCGCTAGTGGGGTTTCCTACTGGTTTGGGCGCTGGACTAGCGCGGGCGCGCTAATGCCCGCGCTAGTGGGGTTTTCCACTGGTTTGCGTGCTTTGCTCCAATATTCGTCCCTTCACTCCAATTTTCGCCCGGATCACCATCATAAGCCCTCATTTGATTATTGAACTCCTGTGAAACACCAAAGTCACCATTAGAGCCAATTTTTGCATTATTTACACACTTACAACAGTAAAGCATCCTTAAGTTAGCGCCCAAACGAAGGCCAAACTATACAATTTAGCCTATTATCATCGGGTTTTGGGGAAGGGATTATAAAGAATCCGCCTTTTTACCGTTGGAATCCTCCATGCAAGCAAAAAAAACAATCTTCACGCACCTATTTTTGTTTAAAGTCACACTATATTACAAGTCAGTAGTCTGTGTTTAATTGGCACACATGTGAGGATGTTAGCTTGCCTGACAGGAAAGAGCCAAACTTTACGTGTCCATGTGAAAATTGGTGCCAAGTTCCGGTGCCTGTCTATATATTTGGCCATTAAGGAGATATGCTTCTCACAAGAACTACATCAACATCCACAATGTAGTCATTAAAAAAGTCCTATTTTAGGGGAAACTTATTCTCTCAATAAGTTTTTCTTTTAATATTAGTAGATTTATGTAGGTCACTTGATCAAATCATATTAATATAATATGCTTCTTTAGTATATATTTTTTTTTTCTGATTTATCGTCTACTAAATTTTGTATTGTTAGCTTCTGCATGCATCATGTTATTTCGATCCCAATAGAGTGTTATATAAAACTACTCCCTCCGCTTCAATTTATATAAAGATATTTCTTTTTTGGTCCGTTCCGAAAAGAATGACCCCTTTCTAAATTTGGAAACAATTTAGCCTAAACTTCTAATTCTACCCGAGAAACTTTTATAACCACACAAATACTCTGGACCCTTTTTGACTTGTTTAGGACCACAAATTTCAAAAATCTTTACTTTTTCTTAAATTTTGTATCGAGACAAATAAATTCACATATTGAAACAGATGGAGTATTATTTTCTTATACTTATAAAAAAGCATCACTATTGGGAGAATTATTTTCTTAAATCCCTATGGCCAAATGACCCTAGGCTTGTGTAAGCAGGGGCCAAGGGGCGCTGAAGGTGACTGACTGGTGGAAAGATGAAGGGTCACGATCTTCTCGTGCTTCCTCGCTAAATACAATGTGTATGGCCCGATTTCCTTTACAAATGACACTGACGTAGTAGTTTATTACACCCCCACCCCACCCCACCCCACCCTACCCCCACTCAGGTACACCGGTGCTAGTACTAGTAGTATAACAATTGGATAAACTCCAAGAATTGTTCTCGAAACCCTCATTTTCTTCCGAAGAACAAACTCAATACCAGTGAGGTGAGGTGAGCTTCTTCATAAATCTTTAAAGACTATTTATTTCTTTGTGGAATGCTTTTTCCTTTTGTTTCCTCAATTTGATTCAATATTAATTGTTGAGGAAAAACAAAGGAAGATCTATGGATTTCAGGACCAGAACATGTTAGACTGTGAAATGAATAACAAATACTGTTAAGTGAATAACAGCTTGACTTTTGACGGCGCCTATTGGATTTCTTTTCTGATCACTTTTATTCTCCTTCTTCTTCTGAGGACTGAGATCTTTTTTTTTAATGGTTACATGCTATCTTTCTTTTACAAATCTGGAGAAACGTCTATGACAATGATATCTTTAGATTTGTTCAGTGAAGAAGATATAACTGGTTCTACTTTTTTCACTTCTGTTTTTGGTTAAATTTGAAATGTTTTGGTTATGGTGGTATGGACTGCAAATTGAGTGAGTGCTTTTTACTTTTACAAACTAGAGCACGTCTACACCAATGACTCTAGATAAAGGAAATATCTAAAATCTTTCTTCTTTTTGTTCAATATTTCCCAGATTTGGTGGATCTTTTGCACGATGCTTCAATTTTTTTATTTTTTTTTTAAAAAAAAATTGTTGTTAAAACCTATTGTTGAAAAAGGTTCGACACTCTTTGAATATTTGCAGATCCTAGGGCTATCACTTTGTACTATAATATATAAGATTCTATTGGATCAATTTGATATTCTTGAGCGTATAAGTCATTAAAGCTAGACGACCAGCCAAAATTTAGCCAATGTTGTTATATTGCATATCTGAATTTATGATGTTGTTGTTGTTGTCCTAATATAATAGGCAAAATGCAAGGAGGATTCAAACAAATCATTTCTCATGGAAGTGTCCTCAAGAGCGCTGTTCTACGACATGTCCGATTGGTGAATCCAGTAGCGAGGCCACTTATATTTGCACGTCATGAAACAACTTCAGCTGCTCGTATAGAAGAACATGGTTTTGAAAGTACCAAAATAGCTGACATTTTGAAAGTCAAGGGTAAAGGTGCTGATGGCTCCTGGCTCTGGTGCACTACTGATGACTCTGTTTATGATGCTGTGAAATCGGTTAGTAAATCATTTGTACATTGCCCTTGCATCTAACCATTTACACAGTTAATGTTACATTTTTATGTATTTATGTGCAACCAAACCATATTGCTAAGAACAATGTGTAATTCTTATCCACTTATGAGCCAGATGCTCATTGGTGCATTATCGCTTGTGTAGTGACAACTTAAAACTGATTCTTTGTGGCTATACAGATGACACAACACAATGTAGGAGCGTTGGTGGTTGTGAAACCTGGGGAAAATAAGTCAATTGCTGGGATTATTACGGAAAGAGGTAAACAATTTTCTCAAAATACTTCTGATGCTGCTTCCTTAATTTCCTGCACCAGTATTGGTTTTGAACTTGTTCGACAATCATGTCTGCAAATTTAGCTTATCATAGTTGTCTTTAAAGATAAATGCTGCAAGAAATGTTGTATCCTCTGGACAATTTCGAATATATTGGGGTCTTTCTATGACTGGCAATGTGACCGTTCTCGGTCGCTAAATTCACCTTGTCTCTAAGATTATCGGGATGTCAGCAGTGACCTCTTTTTATTATTGTAATAAATCATCAGAGGATTATTGTTTGATCTATGTGAATGTAAGCTAGAAAAGTTACTGGCGTACATGTGCAATTTAAGAATCTCTCTGTGACCATGTGAATGGAAGCTATAAAAAATAAGATTGCTTTGGTGTTGGAGCATTTGCATGAATGTAGAATTGGGGAAGGTTACAGATATTCTGTTCACTTCAGGGACTGTATATACCATGGAAGCTTTTAAGGTGCATGTTTTGGTGTCTGGTATTTTCAAGTTGGACTTACTAGTTGTAAATACATAGAGTTGCACGCAGTTAGACACACGAAGCACTTCCATGATTGTTCTGATTATTCTTTTCTCTTCAACCCCATCCCCTTCTCATTAATTTTCTCGAACCAGATTATCTGCGGAAAATCATAGTACAAGGAAGATCATCCAAATCAACAAAGGTTGGCGACATCATGACGGAGGAGGTAACACTCAGAAGCCCCCTTCTCATCAGAAAAAAGGAAAAAAGAATAAATGCTGAAGCATATAAAATTTGCTCCCAGCCAAGCACTTCTATATTCAATGCATTATTAACGCATAACATGACCAACTTTTGTCTATGTGGGTTTGCAGAACAAGCTCATCACTGTCACACCAGACACCAAAGTTCTGAAAGCAATGCAACTGATGACAGGTGCTATTTTGCTGCAACTTTTCCCAAAGCTCCTTCCCATTCTTAATCTATTTCATTAAAGTTGAGCAGATAGGTTTACATATTTTTCAATATCACTTTTCAGATAACCGTATCAGGCACATTCCAGTCATTGATCAGACAGGTATGATAGGGATGGTGTCCATTGGAGATGTTGTCCGTGCTGTCGTGAGTGAGCACAGGGAAGAGCTGAACCGGTTGAATGCCTTCATACAAGGAGGTTACTAGATGATGACGACAGATAAATGGATGGTGACTGAAAAGGTTATGTTTGCAGTTTAAAGATGTCTTGAGTTGAGAACCCTTAATCTTGTAAATGTTGACTTCCTTACATCTTCTCTAGCATGACGTTCGCCTACGGATGTGGGTTACCAATTTGGGATCAATAAGATACAATCTGCACTAGCTTTCTTTTTCCATTGTGGTTGCATCATGCATGTAATTTGCAGTTGTTTAAAGATGCCAGTTTCTTCAACCAAAACTTGAAGGTTGATCTCTTTCAAGGGGTTAAGATTGACATTCTGCTCCGAGCATATTGTCCTTCACTCCTTCCTTTGTTTTTCAAAGATAAAAATATTTTCCATAATGGGGATTGATATCTTTAAAGTTTAAAATTGTTCCTTAAGCTTTTAAATCATTGTAAGATTTTGGGAATGAACCTTCCAAGATTATGGGTCAATTCTCTAACAAGATTCAAGGCTTTTCATCTCGTTTAAAGGATTAAAATTGTCATATTCCCATGAGCATTTATTCGTAGCTTTAGGGTGTGTTTGGTATAATGGAAAATGTTTTTCGTGGAAAATGTTTTCCAAGAAAACAAGTAATAGTCTTATTTATTTTCCTGTGTTTGGTACGCAAATTAAGGAAAATGTCTTCTTAAGAGTATTCATAAATAATTTAGATATAATAAACCTGAAGCCATAAACTTTCTAACCAACAATCTTTCGAACATCCAATTTTCATAAACTTTCGAACCGCTAAACTTTTGAAACCGCGGAAGTTTTAACCTGTAAACTTTATAATTTCTAAATCCGAAAACTTCCAAACACATAAACCTCTGAACTCGTAACTTTGGAACTTGTAAAATTTTGAACCTTTAAACCGATAAATAAAAAAACTAAAACTGAAAAATATATCAAAAANATTTTTTTTTTTGGGGGGGGGGGTAGGGGGGGTAGGGGGTATGGGTAGGTGGGGTGGGGTA